TTTGTCATGACAATTAGAAAACAAACTGCTCAAGGCGTGTGTTTTATGTATGAACGACAGCCGACTGATTCGCAGGAACATGAAGATTGCTCGAGATGACAGCGCCGTTTAACTCGGCTGCTGTGACTGATGTGGCCATCCGCTCAATGCATCGGAAAGGATATCAGAGCAAGCTCTTAGTTGTTCACTCGAAGAGGGGCTGATGTAATTTCTGAGGCTTGCTTTACTGCGATGATCTGAGATCGCCATGATAAGCTAGCTGCGATGGACCTCAGCATGATCGCAATCGCTCTGAGACCGTCATGATTTGTATGAATTGTAACAGTTATGCCGATTTGGTTAATTTTTCATGGCATGGCATGGCATGTTTACAAACCTTTGCTTGGCTCTTCTGTTGCTACTTGCCGGCTCGTTTGTTCCGAAATTTCACTTCAATTACCGAAAAAAAGCAAGAGAAAAGTGCGGGAAATGGTGGAACATAGTACAAATTAGTGGATGGCGTGACTCAACTCTGTCTTTTGTTCCCTGATAGAGCGCTCTTTCAACAAATGACAGCGCGCTTTATCTCCGATCTTGATTATAATACCTGTGATAGCGTTGATAACAACCACGTTATGGCCTCTGATGTGTGGAGAATAATCTTTCCCATTCACTTTGATGTAAGCAATGCCACAAGTGTTTGCTGTAATTCCCAGATCCTCGCAACCTTCACTGCGGATGAATACTCTCACCACGGGAGCTTATTATTAAAATCATGAAACAAAAATGAAAGCTAATTTTCCTTTTTTCAACCATAAATATAAATGAACTTATTATAAAGAACAGGAGTCTTAGTTTCACTCTGCTACAACATACAGTGAGTAGAAGTAATGTTTGTAATGTTACTTTATCGCCCAGTATTATTCATAATATTTGTTTCTATATCTAGGTGGATGTAAGGGCATGTCCGAGAAAAAAAATGTTTTGCCTAAAGGTGAAATATTTTGGTCACAGAGTTAATTTTGGATACTTTTGGAGTCGCAAATGTGTTATACTTTAATTAAACATCCAGCCGGCCGGACCGCAACAGAACAGTTTT